TCGATACCACTACATTCACAAGCTTGCATCGATGCAGAACTGATTGCAGCGTCACAAAACAGTCTTAGCACAATTAGCAAACTGTATTCTTTGGCTATCGAGGATACCATAATTGTTGACATAAATAGAAAACAACAGACTATTCGGAATGCAAAAATAATTAACGGTGTGGTTGTGGATTTAAATACAATAAAAGTTGAGTAAAATAATGTTAACTTTTGTGTATCATTAGTAATGCTAATCGTCAACTAGCTTTACATTGTAAGTAGCTTGCTTGCCACGTCACGAGTGTGAGTAGGCGCTGTGGCTTTGGGTCAGGACCCAAAAAGGAAGAAAGGCAAAACACCAGCTCGGAAACTACTGATAATACCAACAATTGTTATAATGTTGGCGCATTGAAAGCGCCAGAAGGAATATATATATATATATATATATATATATATATATATATATATATATATATATATATATATATATATATATATATATATATATAAAACATCTTACAATGTAACACTACGATGGAGTGACAATTATCATTACTGTTCTTACAATGTTAAAAAGCTTCTATTTATACGTGGATTTCACAATGTCAAGCGCAGGCATCGGATTAATGATGAACATATTTTTCTTTGAAATGGTTTACTTATGGATGAAAAGATAGTTTTAGGAACCAAACAGCATGTAGAGATTGAACCAATGGAAATGCTGTGTTTCTTTGGGTAAATATGGATATTATTTGCTTACAAAAATTCAGAAATAATGCAAGAATAAATTAAATATGTGTTTAAACGAGAAACTGTGTCATGTTAATATCGAAAATGAACTTTATGTTATTGTTACATGTCCGTTATATGTAGAATTGCAAAGATACTATTTACCCTCTGTCTTTTATAAACATTCAACATTAGGAAAATATATGGCATTTATAAAATGATTTTAAAAGTTCTGATTAATAATACATCCATGTTTTATTTGCATTCCTTACAAATTAGATAAACTGTTTTATGATTAGCCACGGTTACATTATATAAATAACGTTAATGTCACAAAACGTATGTTTGCTTGATACAAATCCTGGGTTCTCTGAAAATGTTACTTGTGTTTTTACTGTATAGATGGAAATTATCCCAAATATAATTGTATTTCACCTAATTAGAAAAATACATTAATGATTTTTTGGATGTATACCATTTCAGACAGATATTAAGTTGCATAATGTTAAACCACCTTTTGGTATAGCATGTTGTATAGATATGTATCATTGGTCAGTGGCCTATATTGCAATCAATTATCATTTTTATTATTATTATTATTATTATTATTATTATTATTATTATTATTATTATTATTATTATTATTATTGTTGTTGTTGTCATTTAAAACTATAAATGATGGTTTCTTTACTATTATATATATATATATATATATATATATATATATATATATATATATATAAAGAAAGAGAGAGAAAAAATGCAAATAATATGGTGAATAATGGTCTTTCATACATCTTAATGATCTGAATGTTGTTGACTCATACTGAATTCCAATTAATTGAAAGGAAACATCTTGAGAGAATACAGTGTACATCAGGTTTTGTCGCTTCATGTAGAGGAAATCTGTCATTGTTTTTCTCCAGATATTCTTTTTGAACTTGTGCGTGTCCCAATATTTTATTATTGGTATTCACATATTCATGATCAGAAAGAAACCTGCTAAGCGATCGTCCGCTTCTATAAATCCGATGTCTATGATCTTTTTAAGTTATTTGTTTCCACCCCTGAATTGGCTATTTGCTCACATGAATGTTGCTTGGGTTTCAGAGACTCCTGCTTCTCTTTTTGTATCCCAGTCATCAAGAGGATAATAAAATCTCTCATGTTTTTCTGAATTTGTGCAAATTACTAGTTCTTATTTAGCAACATTTGGAAATAGGTGCCCAGTGGGTGGTAAACATTTACGAATTTTGCTCTCCAATCTTTAAGCGCCAAGTCGTTCCCTAGCTTGTAGTCCATATAGTTTTTCGTGTTATCTTTTTGCTTTCTTCCTTTTAAATATGTTTCTATGTTTTTTTTTTTGGTTATCTCCTCCAAACACTATTTTGTTAAAATTCTAAAATTGGCATTTGTTTGATTTGAAAGCAATTCCATCAAGCCAAGCAAAAGGCAGCAATGGTTGCCTCCCTTGATAAAGTAGTCTCTAGCGGTGGACCGAGACGACCTGAAAGTGACGACCAGAGATAAGAAAACTTAAGATTAGCAAAATGTCAAGATTTCTCTGTCGCATTACTGAGAACTTAGAATCAAAACAATTGCCTGTTCGTGTAAAATCAAGGCGTGCACTTACGTTTACAAAATACAAGAACGTATTAAAACTTGTCGATGAGAAAAAGGCTTGTGGTTTCGGACATTAATTATAGTTTCAACAACTATTAATATTTGGTTTAATATCCTTACGTTGGTTTTTAAGACATTGTCACATATAATTGTTTTTTTTTTAATGTTCTGTATTGTGATACAATTATATAATAATTCAGTTAATTATGTAACTCTAAATAATAAATGTATTAGAAATATAACTGATTATGTTTATGATGGAAACAATTTCATCGTACATTATATAACAATATTATCTCTTACGCAAAATAAGTTACGGATTTATTTTTTTTAAAAAAGAAACAAACCAAAAGCGTTATAAGAAACATATTCCGTTCTGGAAATTTTATAAAGTAATAATGGACTGGCACTCGACGCTCTGGACTGAACTGCATATGGTGTAAGTGTTTTTCTTTCCCCAGCATAGGAGCAGCGCATGACGGAGAAGAGGACGCCGTAGATTGTAAGGCAGAAGACGAATTTATTATGAATCCCTATGTGCCAACTTTCGACCCAAACAAAATGTATTCCAGGAATCCATGGCAGTTTTCTAACTGTACTGTGAGAAATTTCAAGACGTCACTAAAAGCCAAGTATGTACAATGTATATCGTGTCATATTTCATTCGTTTTTAATTCGTTTGATACATTTGCCGGAATAACCTTATCCTGAGGAACACAGATTTGCACTCTACTTTCAGGCGCAGAGTCTGTCAGAAACCTCAGCAAATGAAAGGCAATTTTTGAATAATCAACAGAATTATGCCATGACATTTTAAAATCAACACACACACACACACACACACATATATATATATATATATATATATATATATATATATATATATATATATATATATATAAATTATATATATATATATATATATATATATATATATATATATATATATAATTTTATCCAGCATGAAAATGCGCGCCTGTCTTCTTGTCTCTGTGCAAATATTCACGCGTATGTATGTATGTATGTATGTATGTATGTATGTATGTATGTATGTATGTATGTATGTATGTATGTATGTATGTATGGATGGATGTATGGATGGATGGATGGATGGATGGATGGATGGAGTATGTATGTATGTATGTATGTATGTATGTATGTATGTATGTATGTATGTATGTATGTATGTATGTATGTATGTATGTATGTATGTATGTATGTATGTAATCGACATATATATATATATATATATATATATATATATATATATATATATATATATATATATATATATGTGTGTGTGTGTGTGTGTGTGTGTGTGTAGGTAGGTAGGTAGGTATGTGTATACATGTATGTAGTTTGACCTGGTACGCGTGTATGTAAGTAGGAAGGTGAGTGAGTAGAAAAGAAGCCGGAAACCCTATTCGTCCGTCTGTCTGTCTATCTATCTGTCTGTCTGTGTATCTATCTATCTCGTGTTTCAGAGTGTGTGTAACCAGGAAGCCTGATTACGCCGTTGGTGAATTGGATGAATGGAACAAGTTTATGAAGAAACTGCCAGGAGTGAAGTACACCCCCACCATGCAGTGTCACGCCATTATTGGACCTGGATCTAGATTCTGTGGGGTATATAGAAAGTGAATGTTTCTCTGTATGTATGCGCGTTCTCGTCTCCCGTAAGAAGTATCCAATATTGTATATTATGTCCGCTCTTGGATGTTCTTGTTATCATGTTTCGCTTAACAATCCCTTATGTGGCACTGAGTAAACAGCATGAATGAAGTCTTTACGATGATAAATCCTTCCAAATATAAGTAAACGTGTAGTCCCGAGATTCACAGTCAATAAAAAAAGTTCCAAATAGGCCATACAAAGTAAAGGATAAAAGGAAAAGGTTAGTCATTATAATATAATATAATATAATATAATATAATATAATATAATATAATATAATATAATATAATATAATATAATGTAATGTAATGTAATGTAATGTAATGTAATGTAATGTAATGTAATGTAATGTAGTGTAGTGTAGTGTAGTGTAGTGTAGTGTAGTGTAGTGTAGTGTAGTGTAGTGTAGTGTAGTGTCATATCATATCATATCATATCATATCATATCATATCATATCATATCATATCATATCATATCATATCATATCATATCATATCAATCATATCATATTTTACTAGCGATAAATTTACTTAAAATATATTAAAGAATCACGAGCGTATTATCTTTTAGTAACAAATTATTTGATTTAAACTTTGATATTTTTCTATTAGAAAGTGGCATATTTATCTGGTAGCATTATCAGTTATGCTGGACATAACTAATATTTGCTTCAAGTATTTGTTGCAGATTTTGCAATATAAAAACAATGAGACACAACTTATCCATTGATGCATTGCGGACAAAATTTCAAAAACAAAAACAACAGAATCCAAATAATAACAATATAATGAATCCTGCAAAAGGGAGCAAAGTCATTCAATTACTGAACTGAATGATCACGAGAGCATACATAATTTATATTATTATTAAAATCACCTTGATCCTGATTTAGAGAAATTGAATTTGTTTTGATTGCGTTATATAACGTTATATTAAAACAATACAAATTCAAATGTTATTTATCCATATTATTGCGTTATATAACTGCTTCCATGACATAGTGGTTAGAGCGTCCGCCTCGGATGCGTGAGTTCATGGGTTCGATTCCAGGTTGAGTCATACCAAAGACTTACAAAATTGGTACTAACAGCCGCTTGACGCTCAGCATTAAGAGGTTAATGTTAGGACTGGTCGGCCTGGTGTCAAGATAATGTGACTGGGTGGGACATAATGCTACATGTTTGCGGCATGATGCCCCATTGCTAGACATCACTATAAACTGCCACACTGCAGACATCGTAGCGATATGACTGAAAAATTGTTAAAGCTATAAAGCTACGTTAAACATCATAAACACCACACTTTAATTGCGTTATAATCATGATTGGTATTTTGGTATTGGGTAGTTGTGATGAGAGAGAGAGAGAGAGAGAGAGAGAGAGAGAGAGAGAGAGAGAGAGAGAGAGAGAGAGAGAGAGAGAGAGAGAGAGAGAGAGAGAGAGAGAGAGAGTTCTGAAAATGAGAAGATTAAAAAGTTATCAATGCCAACATAATTAGCCACAAAGAGGTAGAAAAATCACATGATAGATAAATTCAACGCATGGCTGTATTACAGGTACACACCACATACACGCCAGATCTAAAATGATAACAAATGCTTCAAGTAGTAATACCTACATTAGATCCAAATGATTTGATTCTACATGTTATTATCTTTGTATTAATAAATAAAGCTTATAAGAGATGCTAGTAATGCGATTGTAAACATTTTGGAACGAATGTTTACTAGATGCATAATTATTTCTCACAAAAGTGTTGACTTTTTTAGCTGAATTATTACAACATTTGCATGGCACTTAAAGATTTGAGACTATCGGTTCCAATGAGAACAAACTAAACAGCACAAAATAAGTGATGGCAAACTAAGATAGGATCAGAAGCGTCTAATGTAAATAGCACTGGTATAGAAGCTTTTCAGTACATTATAAAACAAAAAATTTAGAATACCAATATTTCATTACGAATTGTACCATTTTGTTCTCCCTTGTGATTTTAGATTACCAGTAAAACCTAAATAGCATATGGATCAAAAGAAGCACAAAGTAAGAATATGAATTCAAACGCATGTACCTACAGTACAAGGAACTTATTTACAAATGGCTAAGATTATTTATTAAAGCGTATGTACCTACAGTACAAGGAAATTATTTACAAATGACTAAAATTATTAATTAAAACACATGTACCTAGTGTACAAGGAAATTATTTACAAATGGCTTAGATTATTAATTATACGCATGTACCTACAGTACAAGGAAATTATTTACAAAGGACTAAGATTATTAATCAAAGCACATATACCTACAGTACAAGGAAATTATTTACAAATGGCTAACATTTTTAATTAAAACGCATGTACCTACAGTACAAGGAAATTATTTACAAATTGCTTAGATTATTAATTATACGCATGTACCTACAGTACAAGGAAATTATTTACAAAGGTTGGTTGGCTGGTTGTTGTGGGGTTTAACGCCATTTTTCAGCACAAGATAGGCTATACATGGCGGCCAGTATTAATGGTGGAGGAAGAAACCGGGAAATCACCGGAAAGAACCACCGACCCACGAGAAGCTACTGGCAAGCTTTCTCACATATCCACATTTGCCGAATCCTAGACTCGAACCCACGCCGACAGAGGTGAGATGGCAGTGATCCGTAACGGACAGCGCTTTAGACCACTCGGCCACTCGAGGCCCCTTATTTACAAAGGGCTAAAATCATTAATTAAAACACAGGTACCTACAGTACAAGGAAATTATTTACAAATGGCTATGGTTATTAATTTAAACACATGTACCTAGTGTACAAGGAAATTATTTACAAATGGCTATTGTTATTAATTTAAACACATGTACCTAGTGAACAAGGAAATTATTTACAAATGGCTAAGATGATGAATTAAAACACATGTACAGGGAAATTATTTGCAAATGGCTAAAATTATTAATTAAAACACATGTACCTAGTGTACAAGGAAATTATTTACAAATGGCTATTGTTATTAATTTAAACACATGTACCTAGTGAACAAGGAAATTATTTACAAATGGCTAAGATGATGAATTAAAACACATGTACAGGGAAATTATTTGCAAATGGCTAAAATTATTAATTAAAACACATGTACCTAGTGTACAAGGAAATTATTTACAAATATCTAAAAATATGAATTAAAACGTATTTACCTACAGTACGATGAAGTCACTTAAAGCAACCTCGACGATGAATTAGAAAGTTTTTGTTCTATACGATGATATCACTTACAATGGCTAAGAGTATCAATTAAAACGCACTTACCTACAGTACGATGAAGTCACTTAAAACAACCTTGACGATGAATTAGAAAGTTTTTGTTCTATACGATGATATCACTTACAATGGCTAAGAGTATCAATTAAAACGCACTTACCTAAAGTACGATGAAGTCACTTAAAACAACCTTGACGATGAATTAGAAAGTTTTTGTTCTATACGATGATATCACTTACAATGGCTAAGAGTATCAATTAAAACGCACTTACCTACAGTACGATGAAGTCACTTAAAACAACCTTGACGATGAATTAGAAAGTTTTTGTTCTATACGATGATATCACTTACAATGGCTAAGAGTATCAATTAAAACGCACTTACCTACAGTACGATAAAGTCACTTAAAACAACCTTGACGATGAATTAGAAAGTTTTTGTTCTATACGATGATATCACTTACAATGGCTAAGAGTATCAATTAAAACGCACTTACCTACAGTACGATGAAGTCACTTAAAACAACCTTGACGATGAATTAGAAAGTTTTTGTTTTATACGAGATATCACTTACAATGGCTAAGAGTATCAATTAAAACGCACTTACCTACAGTACGATGAAGTCACTTAAAACAACCTTGACGATGAATTAGAAAGTTTTTGTTCTATACGATGATATCACTTACAATGGCTAAGAGTATCAATTAAAACGCACTTACCTACAGTACGATGAAGTCACTTAAAACAACCTTGACGATGAATTAGAAAGTTTTTGTTCTATACGATGATATCACTTACAATGGCTAAGAGTATCAATTAAAACGCACTTACCTACAGTACGATGAAGTCACTTAAAACAACCTTGACGATGAATTAGAAAGTTTTTGTTCTATACGATGATATCACTTACAATGGCTAAGAGTATCAATTAAAACGCACTTACCTACAGTACGATGAAGTCACTTAAAACAACCTCGACGATGAATTAGAAAGTTTTTGTTCTATACGATGTTATCACTTACAATGGCTAAGAGTATCAATTAAAACGCACTTACCTACAGTACGATGAAGTCACTTAAAACAACCTTGACGATGAATTAGAAAGTTTTTGTTCTATACGATGATATCACTTACAATGGCTAAGAGTATCAATTAAAACGCACTTACCTACAGTACGATGAAGTCACTTAAAACAACCTTGACGATGAATTAGAAAGTTTTTGTTCTATTCGATGATATCACTTACAATGGCTAAGAGTATCAATTAAAACGCACTTACCTAAAGTACGATGAAGTCACTTAAAACAACCTTGACGATGAATTAGAAAGTTTTTGTTCTATACGATGATATCACTTACAATGGCTAAGAGTATCAATTAAAACGCACTTACCTACAGTACGATGAAGTCACTTAAAACAACCTTGACGATGAATTAGAAAGTTTTTGTTCTATACGATGATATCACTTACAATGGCTAAGAGTATCAATTAAAACGCACTTACCTACAGTACGATGAAGTCACTTAAAACAACCTTGACGATGAATTAGAAAGTTTTTGTTCTATTCGATGATATCACTTACAATGGCTAAGAGTATCAATTAAAACGCACTTACCTAAAGTACGATGAAGTCACTTAAAACAACCTTGACGATGAATTAGAAAGTTTTTGTTCTATACGATGATATCACTTACAATGGCTAAGAGTATCAATTAAAACGCACTTACCTACAGTACGATGAAGTCACTTAAAACAACCTTGACGATGAATTAGAAAGTTTTTGTTCTATACGATGATATCACTTACAATGGCTAAGAGTATCAATTAAAACGCACTTACCTACAGTACGATGAAGTCACTTAAAACAACCTTGACGATGAATTAGAAAGTTTTTGTTCTATACGATGATATTACTTACAATGGCTAAGAGTATCAATTAAAACGCACTTACCTACAGTACGAGGATGACAATTAAAGTAACTAACACTATTAATTAAAAGGAATTTATGCTGCACGATATCATTTAGAGTGATCAAGACTATGAATTGGAAAGTATTTTTTTCTGTACGATAAGCAAGTACAATAACTAAGATTATGAATTAGAGTTCATTTGCCTACAGTAAGATGAAATTACTACCAATGGTTACTTTGGTTAACGAATGGGAGAGAACAAAAACCATTAAACTGTATTGTTTGCATCGTACAATACGAGTACAATTTACAATAGTTCATGGCATCGTTAACACATTGAAGATTCGTGCCCAATGTCCCTGATCTACGAGTGCTTAAAAAACCCACTTTTCTACAGGAGGCTATTTAGTTTCATCAAATTGTTCAAATGAATCCATGTGTCCGTATCTCTTTATTTCCACGCCAAATACAGAAATTTATTTCTTAGAGTTGGACTACATTACTGTATAGATGGTGCCTAATAATCAACATTTAATGAATTCACTTACGGAACACTTTTTAAATCAGTACTGTATCCTATGACTAAACCGTTGGAAATTTGAGTTTGGAGACATCACTAGTTATTGCTTCATACGTATTTATAACTGATCTTTCTTATTGAGTATATTGTAAAACGTTTCTTCGCTTCTATTTCTTAACGAAACAGAAAACACTCTTCCAGACCTAGTTAAGATAATTGTATAGTTTAAATATATAATTTATATGGTTTAAATCTAGTTTCACTGTGTTCCGATGGAGTAAAGCTACGTTACATACTTTTATTACTTTTCCGTCATGAAAAACATAATTTTTTGCAAATTCAACTTAGATTACTGCGTGGTTCTCTTTGTTGTCAA